CTTGAAAGTCTCTGTCCGTAGAAAAAGATGCCTACAGTGATGCAAAGCGTGGAAGGTTTCAGAAGTTATAAACTAAAATTAGCTTTTTYTTTTAATAGAAAAGGGTTTTAATTGTGCCAACAGTAGCAAAGAAATACTGTGAAAAAATGGTAGCATTTTTTTTCTGTGTTAGATGTTCATTTTTAGACATACAGGTTTAAAGAATCCCAACCTGCAGAAATTATAAGCACTTGCAGTCCTAAGAAAATAGAGCTTCTGATCCTATGCATAGAATTAAGGACCAATGAGATAAATTCACAACTTCTGAATCTCTTATATTTAACAAAGAGAAAACTTCTTAGCAATAGAAAAAAAAAATGCAAAGTTTCATATACTTAAAGAATGACCAAAATTTAAATCAGCCAAACAGTCTGTGAGACTGGAAAGATGATTTAAAAGCATCATTTGCCACCACCGCCAACAGCCACATTGTGGATTCCTGTTAAACATTATTCTTACTGCTAATTTCCAATCTGGAGAGCTCAGCTCAGTATTTATAAAGGTGCACCAAGCCAAAAACTCTATCTGAATTGTTTAATGAGGAAAAAAAAAGTTCAGGGAACATCAATGAAAGTTAATCTGTCAATAGATTGCCAAACAGAAGTTCAGTAACAGTAAATTATAGATGGGTTTTCAGACTTGGAAACGGTTGCTACCAATGTGCAAAATAATACCAAGGTTAATGTGGACTAATTGCAAGTATAATTAATAGTGCACCTTCAAATAATACCCTTCAGGTTCCTCTTTCAAGTGAAATGAAGTCTTACTCATCTTATCTCCTTGATAAGATGATAAGAACTCTAAGAAAATTCTAAACAGAACTTTATATTRCTTTTGAAATGGGGATTTTTCACACAGAATGACTTGTAAATTGCTGTGTCCTCTCCCATCCCACTGAAGATCAGTGTGGTCCTGTAACAGGGAATCAGTTAGGCATGGAATCATCTACATGATTGCAAACATTTACCCTATTATTGCATCTAGTTCTGAAACAAAAGGATTACAGGACAAAATGGGTTGAAAGGGTCCTCTGGAGTTTATCTTGTCCAACTTGCTTAATGCAGTACTCCTACATCATATATGCAGGTTCGAAGGCTTCATAATTGAAGACTTCTGGCCTCCATTAGGAAGCAGGAACAAAAAACACCAAGATCTTTGCTGCCCACCTTTCATGCAGCTGTCTCCATTAAAGCCATGTTTGAARCTCCTGTCTTTGACACCTTTCCAAAAGTGTGTGCAGTCTTGGAAGTAGCATCCTGAGTCACAGATGGCAGCTGACACTTCCCTCCAGCTTTAGAGGATTCAGCATTTCGTGCTCCAATTCAGACCTTTCTGGATTGTTATCTAGCTGTTGGAAGGAATACCCCAATTCATAATCTCATCCTCTCAAAGGTCATGTTGCATTTGATGCAGGCTTGGCTCCACTGCAGCAAATTATGGAAACACAGGAGCCAAGGACCAGCCAACACAGCTCCTGCTACAGCAGGTGCCACATCAAATAGTTACTTGGGTATAAAACACATAGAGCTCCACCCAAAAACTCTCATGGAATCTTTTTTCACCCTTTATTCCAACAGAGCCCATAATAAGACTTGCCAGTTTAGGTGGGAGCTGGAATTTCCAGCCCAAATGTGCCAATATCTAACTTTTATCCATGTTCTCATGAGCTCCATTCACCTTCAGCCCACATAGTGTTTTGATCTCTTTAATTATTCAGAACTAAAAAAAAAAATAGGGCGAGGGTGTATTTCTTCCTACATGGGTCCCAATTATCATGAATCTATGGCTAGTCCTCGAAATTGTGGGCAGCATCTTGCTCCTGATTCAGAGGAGGAGGTAAAAATACCCTAGAATATCTTGGCCTTCCAACAGTATCCTGCAGATTTATGCAGTGAGTTACTAGTTTGGAGAGGAGAAAACTGGGAGATAGAGAAGTTCTTAAGTCACACATCAGCAGAACTACTCAACAGACCTTCCAGGATGTTTGAATGAGCAAAATCCCAATGTGTTTGCTTTAAGAAAAGCAAAATACTTTGAAGAAAAGCAAGAAAAGTAAGTGCTAAATCATGAATTGGCTACTACAATTCATGGGCCTTATGATATCCATCCATGATCCATGGAGAGGGACCTGGGAGTCCTGGTTGACACCAAGTTATCCATGAGTCAGCAGTGTGCCTTTATGGCCAAGAAGGCCAATGGGATCCTGGCTGCATCAGGAGGATGTTGCCAGCAGGGCAAGGGAGGGGATCCTGCCCCTCTACTCAGCTGTGGTAAGTCTGCACCTGGAGCATTGTGAGCAGTTCTGGGATCCCCAGTATGAGGGATGTGGAGCTCCGAGAGAGGGTCCAGCAGAGAGCAACAAAGATGATGAAGGGACTGGAGCATCTCTCATACGAGGAGAGACTGAATGAGTTAGGCCGGTTCAGCTCTGATTTCAGTTCAGATCTGATTAACATGTATCAGTTCATGAAGGGAGAATGCAGGGAAGAAGGGGCCAAGCTCTTCTCAKTGGTGGCCAGTGAAAGGACAAGGGAAAATGGGTATAAGTTGAAACACAGGCAGTTCCATYTCCATGTGAGGAGAAACTTCTTTCCTGTGAGGGTGACAGAGCCCTGTCACAGGCTGCCCAGGGAGGTTGTGGAGTCTCCTTCTCTGGAGGTCTTGAAAACCCGCTTGGATGCCACCCTGTGCCACATGCTCTAGGTGTGCCTGCTTGAGCAGGAAGGTTGGACTASATGATCTCTCAAGGTCCCTTCCAACCTTGAAGATTCTGTGATTCTGTGATATGCAAGGGAAGCATATCAGTAACAAGAGAGCTGTGCTGGCAACATATTTGGTGTTGGCCACAAAATGGGTCCTAGGGCCAGTATGGCCCTGAAAATCTGTTTCACATCTAGGGTTAGGGCTAGGGTTGAGAGAAGGAGACATCATAGAGGTAACATTGCATGGGGAGAGGAAGGGTGCAGACCAAGATGGAAATTTCATCTGTTGCAAGAGTAGTTTCATATAATCCTATTGTGCCCAGCAGGACCAGTGCAAGGACATCCTGCATCAGAAGGGAATTGCTATCATTCACTCATATCAAGCAAATACTATTAGAAAAGAAGAAAATCCCCCATGACAGCATTTAGAAAGACTATTCTTTACCTGCATTTTTTTCTGTACTTTTAAAAATATTTCTCAGCACCCTTGGCATTCTGACAAACACATTGTTGACATACTTACCATGTTTTCTTGGTGAATCTCAGAAGTTTGACTGGTAGAAACAAGGATGTTATAAAATAATTGCTTTTCTTCAGGCTAAGGAGAAAATGACCAAGAAATTGTGACACAACCTCTCTGGAATTACATTTTGCAGTAATTTTTTTACAATTATAGGTGCGGTAGGTGCAAAGTGGAGCTTCCCACTTTGAACAGCAGCAGCAATTCAGTTGGTCCCATCCAGGCTGCCTGTTGCAGTTGACAAGTCCCGTCCACACCGTGATGGACCCTCTTCTCTCTCTTTCTTGAGAGGGGGTCTCATCAATGTGTACAAAAACCTAAGGGGAGAATGTAAAGAGGAAAGGGGCAAACTCTTCTCGGTGGTGACCAGTGACAGGACAAGGGGTAATGGGTGTAATTTGCAACACAGGCAGTTCCATCTCCATGCGAGGAGGAACTTCTGCACTGTGAGGGTGACAGAGCCCTGGAACAGGCTGCCCAGAGAGGTTGTGGAGTCTCCTCTGGAGGTCTTCAAAACCCTCCTGGATGCCACCCTGTGCCATGTGTTCTAGGTGTCCCTGCTGGTGCAGGAGGTTAGGCTAGATGATCTCTAGGGGTCCCTACCAACCTTAATGATTCTGTGATCTGTGGTCTTTTCAGGGGAACACATGCACCGACCAGTCATAGCAGATCCTGTATGTTGGAGAGTCAACCAGGTTGAAAGACGTCTCTCTGCACTGAAAGATTAAAAATATTTCACGCAGAGAAGAAAATGTGTCTACTTTTAAACAACAGCTAGTCCACATGTTTACAGGCAGCTAGTGTGCATCCCAGTATTATAAGGAATAAGAACGTTTCCTTCACATAGTAAAAAGTAGATAGACCTGTTTAAGAACTGGAATAACCTGATGTATCTCCTGGTCTGTTTGCTTTTGCTCATCATTTCTCGCTTGTTTCTAAAACATTGATAACTGCTAGGTTTTAGAGGAGGAAAAAATGTCATCTCTATACTTCATACAGAAATTAAACCCACCTCTTCTGAATGTTCCTAACTGTATGCATGTGTGATATTTGTGGCATTGCTTGGTGCTGCACATACTGAATTTGATCAGAGTGCTTTAGTCAGCAAATACATTGCTCACAATGAATGACTCACCTCAGGGAAAGCTTGAGACTTAGGCACTTTGTACATTCTCTAGCTTTTGTACCTTGCTTTATACTACTGTTGGACTGTAATTCTTATAACTGCATTTGGTTATTTGCTTCTCTGCAGCTTCTTCATTTTTGCTTCTCAACACTTGCAGAAAAGAAAGACAATATTCAGAATAGGATTAGCAATTATTTTTATTGAGTTTTGGAGACAGTAGCATTGCAGATATGGGTATTTTTCACGTATGTATTATTGCTGAGTTTTGTTTGTTTGTTTGTTTATTCATTTGTTTTATCTGTTCGATCTCTTTGTGACCCATCCTGGTAGTTTGACAAGTCCAGGAATAGCAGTGTGAGCCATGAGAGAGCAATAGTGAATTTCCTAGGCCTGGTAAACTTTGCTAAGTATCCAGACATAGGAGTAGTTTTAGGTCGCTAAGTCTGTGTGGTCTCAGTGGATCTGCAAGTATTTTAAAGGTAACTACTTAAAAGCTTTTTATTCAAGTACTTTCAGTTGGTCAAAAGAGTCACAAATTTTTAAATCCTGAAAATAATATTAATCTAACAAGACACATCAGCAAAAATGTATCGAATCCTTACAAACAGTATGTTTATGGATTCTTCTTCATCACATCAATGATTTCTTTATATAAAACCTCTGTCACATTGAGATTCAGTAAGAAATCCAAATGGTTCCACCCAGGAATTAATTTGTGGTAAACAAGGTTAGGTATTTGTGGAAGGAGAAGGGTAACAGCCCTAGGATCAGACAGACAGTCAGTTTCTCCATTCCAGATGGCAGTTGGCACGTTCATGTTTTTCACATCATAGAGCGGTGGAGCCACCTAAAACAAAGGGGGGGAAAATGATTTTACAAAAGAGAACAAGTACGTGTTGCAGTGCAAAGAGAAAAAAGGCTCTAAAAGGAATAATTGTTATTGATTTGGAATTAAACAAGATTTACCACAGAGTTTTTCTTCTAGAAAGGAGAGAAATTTGCATTAAAAGATGCAGAATGATTAAATGTGTTACAATTTTGCCCAGAGAACTGGTGTAAATTGCTTTTTCCRTGTTAGAAATTCTGGTTCTGGCTCTAATGGCATCTAGTTGAGCATGTAGTAGCAGACAAGTGCCTTCAAAAGTCACGATGAACTTCAAAGTGGTGGCTTCCATTACAGGCAGGCCACAGCAGTGGCAGGGGACATCCTAAGGCACAGCTGGACATTGTCTTCAGGAAGACCAACCCACATGCATCTCTCTTCTCTATCTTCTTTTTTTTACAGTCTCAGGAATGCATCTAGGTTGTACCCCTTATTCTGAAATCCAGTTGATACACAGGCAAAATTGCATTTACCGCAATCTGATGTTAGCAACAGCCCTTCTTCAAGCAGAAGGTTGGRCTGGAGATCTCTCAAGGTCCCTTGCAACCTGCTCTGCTGCGATTACACCTCATATAAGCATTTCTTTCAGCTTTTTAATAGGGAGCAATCTTAATACTATTAATACTATTAAGTAATAGGAGCCAAATCTCTTCATTTGCACCGTTACATTTGCTACATACCCCTGATACTCTTCTTGCCATTGAACCAGGATTACCTAGGCTTCCAAAGGATGCAAATTCAACTGTTCRTCTTTCATCTTGCAATGTCAGGGCTGGGTGCCAAAAGGGCTCAGTGCCTCATTTCCATCAAAAGCAGATAGAATTTATAGTCAGGACAAAATCTTCTGTTTTACATGTTTCAGCTAGAAACTGGCCACGGCAATTACACTTTTGTATGTCAGATTATGGTCTCCAATGAAAACTCTGGAGAAGTGGAAAACATCTAATACTTTATTCCATCTGGAAGATACTTATAAAAGAAAGTTTAGAATAGGAAGCACTGTTGTTTCAAGTGGAGGTTCTACTGATTTACTGCTTGCATATCCACATTGCGTGCTTTGCTAAGAGAGGACAATAAATTCAGGGGAATAAGAACAGGTTTAGGCAAGCATGRATGGATGGAGGAACAGAAAAGATGAAAGAAAAGAAAGGTCACAGCTCTTGAAACTGAAGCAGTTTACCTGGCTGTAGCGAAGATTGTTATATATGCTTCCCCCATSAAAAGCTTTCAGTGTACCACTCTGAATTCCCTGCAGCAAAGATCAGAGGGAAATGTTTAAGTGACCTTGTCAGAACAAGCATGCAAAAGTTAGCTCCTGACTTGTTAATTTTCTGAAATTGAAAAATGAAAAAAAAAAAGGAAAACGACTACAGCATTTTCTTCAGATTTGGAAGGAAACCCTTTTATCTTTTTTTAAATGAAAGGGGAGATAGACATGAAGGCAGACTTCAGGATATATGTGCAAGGATWAAGTGGATTTCTTAGAGTAAAAGTTTGTGGTTCTTCCAGGAAAGAAATGGTGGTCACAGTCCACTGAAGTCCATTTTGATTAGGACACATCTAGTCCTTTCTCATTTCCTTCTGGTGGCATAGAGAGAAAGTCTTTGGCTTGCTAAATTTAGACAGACTTCTGCATGTGATGCTCTCAGGGCAAATATGTCATTTTGGACTAGATTAAATAATAAATCTTTGGGGACACGGTCAGTTTCTTTGTGARATTGGTGATCATCGCTGAAGATTTTTCAGATGCATCTCACATGTCTGTCCTAGGCCATATACAGAWCGAGGTCTAAAATATCTAAGCAACAATGCTTCCTAAGGACATCCCGAGAAGCTACCCTGCGTTTTATGAAGGGAAAAGCACATAACCAACAAAGATACCACTAATATGTTGCAGCAGACCCATAAATAGATCAACCATAAAGGACTACCAAAATGCTCTGTACTCTGTTTTGGACAGGAGACTAGCTGGGGAAGTTTACCTGTACCCAGTGGATGAGATTTTGCACTGATGTTCCTGCTGGGGCGTGTGCTGCATACACATCAATTCGGCTCTGAAACAAAACAAGTGCCTTTCACAACAGGTTTCGTTCAGCTCTGCAAAGCAGGGCGGCTAGTCCCAAGACTTTGTATTTTCGGGAGATACCGAGGGCCCGCTGTAAATTAGTCCTACGTACCGTATTTACATTGCTCCAGTTAAAGCCGAAGAGCGTAAACAAAAAGTTCCTACAGGTCTTTGAATAAGGGCATAATTTTCCCATGAGCAGTTCAAGAAAGGAAGTGTGTGGCATGAATTCCTTGGTGCCAAACATTGCCTGTAATATTACAAACAGAGGTACCAATAAAATACGTAGATTGGTCATGCTTCTCCTCAAAGGACTAACACTTCATAGCTTTTACCTTCTTTCCATGCTGAGATACGTGTGTTGCTCATGAGTAGCTCTTCATGGTATTCCGTAAAATTTTTTTCATTCCATACATTTATATGCATGACAATCCACATTCATTGTGCTTTTACATTAAATAATAGAGTTCACCATATCATTTTTATTTACCAACATTTTACTACCCCGCTGTGTGAACATCTGTCCATACCACTAGCTCTCTAGATCCTAATTCTTCTGTAAATCCAAGCATTTTGGATATTAAAGTCAGGATAGCACAGAATAAAAATCTGGATTGCAATATGGGATTCTCTTCATTATGAAARCGGAGCATTAATGATCTGTGGTGAAAAAAATATCTGCTCTGCTGTGCAGGTCATTTCAGAATACCTATGAAAAAACTCATTAATCTTGGCTAAAAATATATAATCCRTTTAAACGGCCAACCTACCTTAAGCCCATAGTCAGAAAATAGTGCGAGCTTTTTTAATGGACTTCGAACAAATTTAACAGCGGCCACAGGGGCTAAAGCAACGTACAATTTGATTTTCTGAGCCAGTTCAGGTAGAGTGGAAAAGGCAACAAATGCTAAAATAAAATAAAATAAAATAAAATAAAATAAAATAAAATAAAATAAAATAAAATAAAATAAAATAAAAATATTTTAAACAGAAGAGAAAAATATCTTACTTTTTTAAGGCACTCAATTATACAGTTAACTTTCGTAAGAACTCTCTTGAAAATCTCAGAGAATCTGGAGAGCACCTATGTTGTCATAAGGTAAATCAAAAAGACTAAATCTGCTAAACTTTTGCCTTGACATGCAAGGATGAGCACTTATCCAGCCAGTGTGCAAGTGCTCCTCCTGCTTTGGATAGGTTGAGATTTAATTTTCAGATTGAACTTCGCTCTTAAATCTGATTATCATCTCAAAAATTAGTTATGAAATGACATCTATTTACCTTGAAAATTGTCTTTTATTCTGTCTACCCTGGCCAAAACTAAGGCTTGATAAATAATATAAATTGTTCTTCTACTTCTGTAAACAGTTCAGTGAATGTGCTACTAATCAACATAAGTATGGGTAGGATGAAGTAATTGTATTTTCTTTGGTTAATTGGCCAAGGCGAAGACAGAAGGTTGAGATGTGTTGAGGTTTCCAGAAAGAAGACAATATGGCATTAAGATTATGTTTAAGATTAGAAAGAATATGTTGCAGAAAGCTGTTCCTCACTCCACTTACCGATAGTGGTGCCTTGTGAATGACCAATGTAATACAGCTGCTTTTGTCTGGTTTTCTGTTCAATAAAACTTAGCATTGCTGGGAGATCGTACTTAGCCATTTCATCAAAGCTGCAAAATGAATGTTAGCTGTCTTACTGAGAGATGCAATATCTACATCTCAGTTTCAATCATCAAAAAAATAGCAGAAAACCACCAGTGTTGCAGATATGACAACCCCATAAATCTCTCCGTGCTACTTAGTGTGTCCCTTGGTAAGCGCATGGTTAGGAAAGCTAATATGTTTGAGACAGTTTATGTGCATTCCTAGAGAGTTCGTGTGTAAGCTGCCTGCCTTCCTCTTGCATAGTTTTTTGAAAGAATAAGGTCCATCAAGACAGTATTTCCAGGTATGAAGAGGGGAATTGCAGGCAGAGACAACAACAGTCCGACTTGCATCTGTCAAAGACGACTGTAGCCATGTTTTTTCACCACATCTAGAAAAATTTATTCATTGTGCACTTGAAATAAGTGGATATGCTTTAATTCAGTCTAGCTTGCTTCTCACCTGGTTAAGACAGCATCGATTCTTGAGCATGAAAGGGGTTAGGAGTTGGGTCCTCAGTCTACCACTGCTTACCTGAAAGCCCAGAATTCCTCCCGCATGGGGGACAGAGTCAGATGGCGTTTGCACCAAGTGTTCCCTCTGCTGTTTCCTATCCAAACGTCATAGCCGGCGTCTGCCAGGATGAAGCCCAGGCTGTTGTTAGCCAAATTAGTAACCCATATGCTTCCTTCTCCAAGTAAACCGTGCTGCAGAAATGCCACGGGCTTTGGGCCTGAAAGAGAGGCATCAGGATGGTTTCTTATTAATGCAGTCTGACAGCGCTTGAAATGGTTTGGAGGATCTTTTCTTTTTTGATTACAATTGCCAGAGCGCACTGAAATGTGTGCCAGAATTAAGTAGGCCTGTTTCCCTTGATTTTGGTAAAATAGATTTGCTGTGTAGTAGATGCACCAGATACGCGGTAAATTAGAGTTCTCCATAAGTTCTCCATCTTAGTGTGCTTCTGGCAAAGTTGCTCTGTTAGGAGCATTAGCAGAAATCAGGCAGCTGGGAAGCTTTGCAGACAAACTTGGAGGTGTCTGGAGAGGTGAGGTGATAAGATGGAGCTTCTCAGTTCAATTTTTGGATCTAGAGCCTCCCAATTTTGCTCAAATCTCTGCCTCAYTCATTTTCCCAATATTTCACCTTTCCCCTCCCTTCCCTTTGCTTTTGTGAACACAAGGAGGCCTGAGATCCAGGGCCTCCCTCAAGTGCTGGGACCTCTGTGCTTCCCTTGAGTGCCATTTTTCACAGGACAACATGGCCCTGGTGGAAGCTGCTCAAGGTTTTAGCTGCTCRAGGTTTTCACTGATGAAACTGCTTTGTTGATCTTCTGTGCAGGTGCAAGATTGGGCAATAGAAGCCAAGCTCCTGGAGAAAACGATTGGTGCCAAGAGTGCGCAGAGCATCGGTGGGTGGGGTGGATGGGCTATTACTCACTGGCAGGAYTGCAGCCTGCTGGGTGCACAGGACATCACCCACACCCAGGGGGAAGAAAACTCTGCCATGTCACTGCAGGGAATTCTCACATAGAAGCCAGTATTTTAAGATGTGGTTTTCTGTATAATACAGACATTAATTTTACCTTGGTTTTCAGCATTTCCTCTCCCGTGAGGAATTCTGTTAATCTGAAGGATATAACCATCTTCTGTTATGACATCATACTCCTCACTGGGAWAACCCCAGAAGGAAATCATTTCACTCTGCAAGAAGGAAAAACAAAGAATAAAAGTAATCATCAAGGCAATCCATAAAATCAGTATTTAACTTTCAGTGATTTATATTGGCTGTTTCCCAGAGACATATCGCCTCTGCCCTGATACTTACAATGTTCATATGTGCTTCTGGATTCTCAGCAAGTGGAAGACGAAAGAGCTGGTGTTCAGATACCATCCCATGGACCAAGGACATCAGAACTCCAGCCAGCCACCACATCCTGGGATTGCCTAGAACAGCACATCCGTTGCAGCAAAGCTTCCAGAATCAACAGAACTTCAAACTGTGTCTGTACTTACCAAATGTTGAGTTCATACTGCTTAGATGCCTGCTTGGTATTCAGAAAGAAATACTGCTTGGTGATCGAAACTAAGGAGGTCCGGAAGCTCCTGGAAAGGGAAAAGAAAACTGTGCTTTCTTTATATAAATTGGGGATTTACAGCAGATAAAGGAGAGACTTGAGCAGGAAACCAATTCAGATAAGACCGAGACTTAGCCTGGTGGCTTCTGTAACTCTTTCAAGCATTAACATTAACATGTACGGGCTCAGGGAATATATCCCAGGCAGAATATTTCCAGTGGGGTGGAACAGAGTTTCAGAAATTGGAATAATAGGCAAGGCAATCACCACAACGTTCTTTACAGATCATTGAGAATTGCAATGTGTATTGAAAATAGCATCACATGCATTTTCTGTTAGTCCTGCTTTAAAGATACCTGCTCCTGGGCAATGACAAAACCCAAAAAACACTCTAGTGCCTTAGCCTGTCACGTGAAGAACAACCCCCCAATCAACAGAATCATAGAATCACAGAATCATTACAGTTAGAAAAGACCTTTAAGATCATTGAGTCCAACTGTAAACCCTTCAACACCATAACTGCTAAACCACGTCCCTAAGTGCCTCATCTACATGTTTCTTGAACACTGGAGAAGAGGCACTTAGGGACGTGGTTAGCTGCTGGAACCCAAGGGAGATGGTGAGGCTGAAGGCCAGGGCATACAAGAAGAGGCTGTGGGAGCAGGGCTCATTCAGCCAGGAGATGGGAAGGTGAAGGGGAATCCAAATACATTTTCCACTGCCTGAAGGGGTTACAGAAACGATGGGGAAGGACTCTGCTCAGAGAGACACGGCAGAAAGCACCAGAGACACTATTAGAAGCTGCAGTCTGGGAAAATCAAGTTGAACCTAAGAAAATGTTCCTTTTCCATGTGGATGGTGCAACCCTGGGACACGTCCGTGAGCACTAGGGAACCTCCATCCTTAGGGATTGGTCAGCGCTGCCTGGACACAGCCCTGATGTTGGCTCTGCTGCAAGGTGGTGTTGGACTAGAGAGCCCCAGGGTGCCCCCAGCACCGAATTCTTCTATTATTCTGTGCCCGAACTTCTAATTTTGACCCTTGTCCAGCAGTGTGTCCAGCTCGGCCTGGGTCAAGTTCAATCTAGTACTACCATCTACACAACCACCGCAATATCTGATAAGCCACTCTCTCCTTTACATAGCTGAAATATTTTTAGCTCGGTATCCTGTTCTATTCAGATTCTCATCTAGACTTTCTCCTACCGATACACAAAGCATGTATTTGTCCTAGAAATGATGGCCTAGTGCCGGCCACTTCTACTCTCTCTCTTGCCAGCTGCACTAGAGGAGAATGTATGATTGAGTTGTGAGGGCTTCATAACATCTCAAGGCTGTTTGCATCACCTATTCAGAGGRCTCTCCTAGTTTATCCAGCAGACAGAGTGAGAAGAGCAGGTGGATTCTGATCAATCTGTTATGAGCCAACAATGCTTCATGCGTTCTCTAAATAGAAGTAAGAAAATGAAAAGAAAATCTCTAAGCATCTATTCTTCTCCTTGATCCTAGGGAAAGCAACAGAATTAATGATGTACCATTTATTGAAGGAGATACCTCAGTGTAAAWGTATGTGTTACTCGTGTTACCTTATATAGGAGCAATGTATCTCCTAGCAGCTCTATGAGTCACTTAATACTGATAGGAGACTGGTTTAAAACAAGTCAAAAGAAATTTTTCACAGTGGAAAGTAAGTCTTCTACAAGAGGTGGAGAAAACAAATGGGAACAGCAAGGTCAAAAAGGTTTTAGACAAATTTATGGACAACAGGTTTGTAAATAGATGCTAAAGGCATGTCCCACTAACAAGAGATGCAGATGCTGGGGGACTACTAATGGGCAGATATAGAAAGTGGCCAGGCCCACATGCTCCTCGTGAATAACCTCTTCTTTTACCATCATCCAGCAGATCAAATTTCATTCCTGTCTTCTCCAACCAAGGCAGCTAGGAGTTGTTTTTGTTGCTCAAAACCATAAMTATCATTCACATACATGGGCACAAACAGGGAGAGAACCAGCTCTACAAGWAGTTTTCCCAGACTTACCTTTAAAAGGCAGGCTACCAGGGTAGCCGAGAGGCAGAGCAGCTCCTCCAGAAGAAGAGAGTGAAATGTCAGTCCTTCTGATGGATGAACACTGTACCAAAGCAATGCCTAGCACGCAGAGGCAGGAGGAGAGGAAGTTTGGGAAGGCAGCAGCAAGGGACTGTTTGTCACCTCTAGCTGGAGTGCTGCGTGCTACTCTTCACCTCTCTTAAGACAACCCTATATGAACTGCCTCGAGGGTGGAGTAGCAAGAATGGAGAAGACTAAACGTAAACACAGAGATATTAAACAAAGAAATTGTTAGGCAATAACATACTTTAGAAAGGTCTTCTGCTGCCCAGAATTTGTTTATCAGGTCTATCAAATTCAGTTTAAGCAGTGTCAAATGAATGCTTATAGGTGATGGCGGATGTTTATAGAGGATCTCCACATGTTCTTAACTGATAACCTTGAAGAAAGATTCAAACATCACCTTTCAATGGCCCTCTTTTTTTAATTGCTACAAGAGAATTTGTTAATTTATTAAAAAGCAAGTTTAATGGCAGATCTTATGCTACGCAATATTAGGGAGAACTGCTAAATGTCAATTTGACATTAAATTCCAGGCAACAGTGTGAAAATACCCTTGTTTCTTCACACTCTCACAAGAAAGCATTAAGAGATCCTAAATACCATAGTCCACATAGATACTGCTGGCTTATCCTTTCCCTTCATCCACGGTAGGGCTGTGTCTGTCTTCTGTCTTGTGCTCCCGATTATTCTGCCCTGAAAATCCCAGTGCACAGATGATGGTGAAAGATACGTTCCAGCTGTCATCCTTGAAGGGACCTGAGATACGTCCAAGGTCCACATCTAGATTTGGCAATTGTAGAGCACTTCTGGCTCCATGTTTCCGTAGTTGAACTTTGAYGCTTCGTTTAGAGATTTGAGGGTAAAAAGCACCTTGCTTTTAAGGGATGGAAGCCAGACTTCCGTGTGTAAAACATGCCTTTCAACACCTCTCACTAACGCATCATGGTTGTGGTGACTGACCAGGATCAAGGTGAGACCCCTTGAGCTTTATTATATATTCTGGGGATCAAACGAGACCAGCATTTCCCACATGTTGGTGGGAAATGACCTCAGTGTCGCACTAGAAGCAAGATTTTTCCCAGGACTGGATCAGATTGTCCCTGCCCTGTCCCTGCCTCAGTCAGCCACGGAGGATAGAGAACATGCATCTCTCCACATGCCTCTCAGTGCCACGGAGGCCAACCTGGACCCACTATCCAGGTGTGGCCACTCTCACACAGCATAAAGGGGGTGACAGCTCATTAAGAACAGCTGGCCACACTCCTACTCGTGTAGCCCAGAATCTGGTTCTCCTAATCGGAGCACGTTGTTGGCTCAAATTCAGCTTGGCATCCACTCTCATTCCCAGGTCATTTTCAGCAAGGCTGCTACTGCACATTCCCTAATTAGTGAGTTATCATGTCCCTCCCTCATACACGGCTTCCTGTCACTGTCACATATTTCAGCTAGGTGTTCAGCCCTGCAGTAGAATACGCTATATGTCCAAGAGTTTTGACCCAGCTCATGCAACTCTTTTTTTGCAGTGCTCTTGCAGTCTACATGGCAAGTTCACCACAGGTACACAGAGCATTTCCCACACTGGAGTGCTCCTCTTCAGGGGATCTTGCTATCCATCATATTTATGTTTTATATACATACCTTTTGTAAAGTGACTGATGAGGATTCTATCCAAATTCTTGATCTTTATCTTTTTTGCCTTGACTCCTGGACTGTCTTCATCTTCTCCTAGAAATACCTTCTTACTTGCTTTTGCTGAGCAGCAGTTTTACTAAAGGAAATGCATAATTAACAGAAACTACTGAACTTTTGCATAAATCCAAACTGACATTGAGAACCCAGCCAACTCTTCAGTAAAATATGCCTTTCTCAAGTAAATGTAAGGCATAGATTATTTGATTATTAAATATATATTCAAGAATTTTGAAAAATCTAATTTTCATGAATAAATTATACACACAAATTCTAGTAAGATTACATTGCCTAGCCTGCTGGCAAAGGTACAGCTGGGCAATTCAGCAGGTTTTCTAAGAGATACCAGTTTACAACAGAACTCCATTCAGGATCTCTGGTGGTCCTGAACTGTTTGGCCATGTTCTGGGAACAGAGAGGACTTCAGCTTAACCACATCTATGTGCTAAGCACCTTATTCCTCCAAAGGATACACAGCCCTAAATAAGTAGCTGGCTATCAGAGTGCGTGAAGAAAAAGTGTGTCAGGGGAGAAGCACAGCTGTCAGGATGTTGAGCAAGATGCCAACTGGGCTTTCACAGCACATGTTGGGGAGAAAGATATACGTCCCCAGCTACTTCTCCCCAGGGTATGGATGTAGTTAGCTGTGCCAAAAAGAGAAAAATACCCACAAATCTGAATTCACTAAGATCCCACAGGTTGGATAGTCAGTGATACGTCCAGTCTTTTACAAAACCTGAGGATACTCCAGACTGAGCACGAAACCTCTATCACTGCTCCACAACTCACATGGGAAGGGTAAACAGGGCCTCCAACCTCTCCCCAAGGAATGTCTATTAAACAGCATCTGCTTTGAGGCCAGCTCAGAGCTGCCCCTTCAAGCCGTGTACCATCAACACCCTCAACAGATAAGTGCTGTCCCTTAGTTGCCATAAGCTGCCAAGGAGCTTTAGATCAGTCTGTTGTCAAATGTGTGCCAAAGCATTGGGTTGTT